GCGGCCCCCCCGCCGTAGCACGGGCCGTGCGCCCTGAGACTCGCAGACTGAGTCAGTGCGTGTTGCGGTGGGTGCTGACGCGTGAGGCAGTCTTGTTTCAGAGCACACGAGTTTCAGAATTGCCCTTGTCTATACTTTCGTACTTGGCGTTTTCGCCATCACACCACCATCTTGCTTTGCTGCTAAGACAGAGTGAGAGGCTTGCCTTTCCCGCTCATTCGGAGCAGCGCGGAGGTCCATGTGGGTATCTGCCTCTCAGCCTCTCCCCCCTCCCCCGCAGATGAGTTTAAGGGCCACTCCTTGCTGCAAGCAGCCCGAGAAGCAGACCTGGCCAAAGTAAAGAAGGCGCTGGCACTGGAGGTCGTCAACTTCAAGCAGCCACAGTCGCACGAGACCGCGCTGGTGAGGTTCTGTCACTGACCATCACTCGGGCCTGTGAGCGCGGCACGGTACAGGCGCATACTCGGGCTTCCACTCTCAAAACGCTCTGGAGTGGCTGCAGGGCCATGCTGGCGGTGTGGGTTTCAGACGGAGCTCCGTGAGGGTCCCTCTCACGCAAGAGCCCAGAGGCCCGCTCCATCCCGACCTGGGGTACTTCGGGCTGTCCTCTCCCAGTCGTGGCCTAACAAGCCTGCCCTCTTGGCCAGCGCTCTGGTCAGATGAAGGTGCGGTTTCCTGGTGGAATTGCCCTTTTCTATGTTTGCTAGATAAGTACCACGTTTGTTTTCTGAGGGAGGTCACGAGTGTTTGCAGAGATGTCACATCATCCTTGCAAGCAATTATACTCAAAGAACTAGTGACGTTCCTGGCAGGAGAGGGGAGGGTTATAGATATCCATTCTCGCAGCATAGATTGTCCCTGGGACTGCCGGGTGTTTGTCCTGATGTGCCTCAAAAGGTCAGCTCATCTGTGTCGTCCACGTGGAGGCCCAGAGGCCGGGCAGGGTGGTGGTTGCTGCGGAACTCGGACTTGCATCACAGACCTCTCAGCGTGCTCACGGCTAGCTTCTTACCCAGATCCGGCACCAGAGCTCAGACTGTTGTCGGTATCTGCTGAAGACAACGCCAAGTGAGCCAGGCCGGGGCTCGGGCACGTGGATACTGCAGCCCGTGCCATAGTGCGCTCGGAGCCACACAGGGGCCAGCCTGCTGTGTGGACTGCGGTGTTCCTGTGTGCAGTTATAAGTAGTTTTTTATTTTTCACATTTTCAATATAAACGAATAAAAAAGATTTAAAAAAATATGGAATGAAGCAGATTACAAAAGTTTCTAAAGATAAAAACGTGGACATCTTCTCCTAAACTTCTTCAAGGCTGTCCCTTTCCCCCGTCCCTGGGCTGTGTGCTTACTCTCCCATAGTGCATCCGGGGAAAGGTGAACAGTCGTGCCCGTGTGGGGACTGCTGGCTTGGGTAGAGCCTGCAGCTTCGAAGAGGCCGAGTCAGGTGCTGTCAGTGAGGTATGCACTGATCCCTCACTTGCAGACCTGCAGAGAGGCAGTGAGGCTCCGAGTGCTTCCACTTTCACTTGGGTGGAAAGACTAATGCTTCAGCGTATTTACGAAGAATGTTGAGTGTCAGGGCTAGCAGGCGACATGGTAGTTAAGGAAGCAGACTCCCACCTGGCCAACTGCTATTCAAGTCCCGGACCCAGTGGCTTGAAAAATCACACCAGCAGTGTGTGCGTGCATGGCCGAAATCCCAGGAGGAGAGGGATTGCAGCAGGCCCACGGGGGGGTTTCTTGTTTTCTGTCTGTCTCTGTCTCTGGTGAGTGCGTGCACCCTGTAGGAAAAAGGAAAAGGAAGAAGAAAGGGTATTGAGCCTCTGTGTAATGTGAGGTCCACGAGCGTGCCCTGTTGCCCTCGGAGACAGCCGGACTCTCAGAGAGCAGACGCCGCTCCACTCGGAGGCCCCTGGAGCGGAGTGTGTCTGGTGACGCGGCCGTGCTTTCTCCACAGCACTGTGCGGTGGCCTCTCTGCACCCCAAGCGGAAACAGGTGACGGAGTTGTTGCTCAGGAAAGGCGCGAACGTCAACGAGAAGAACAAAGAGTGAGTACAGTGGGGGGCATCCCTGGGGCTCAGGGGCAAGGCGGTAACCACTCCCCGTCCTTCCTGCCTCCCCAGCTTCATGACGCCCCTGCACGTGGCAGCCGAGCGAGCGCACAACGACGTCGTGGAGGTGCTGCACAAGCACGGGGCCAAGGTGAGCTGCGCCCGCGCCCGCCGCAGGGGCTCAGCTCTGAGCGCTGTGACTCACGCTGGGTGGAGGTCCCGTGAGCCCGCATGGCTGTCAGGATAGTCAGCTGTTTTGGTTCATCCCTTGCCACGCCCTACTGTCCAGCAGTGCAGTGTAGACACAGCCCGTCGGGATAGATTCCAACTCTGAGTAACGGGGTGCTGGGACCGAGTGGGCACACTGCATCCCGGCGACAGCACACCAGGAGGTGCTTGGTGTCTGAGCTGCAGTGATGACCACCTCGGAGAACGTGCATCCCCACTGAGTGGTGCTGGTGAGGGTCTCCTCAGGTCCCTGCTCAGGGAGTTCGAGGCCGTAGAACTGGGTGTGATGTTGTCACCGAAGGGCCTAATCTGAAACTGCAGGAGGGCGGGAGGGGGTCACGCTGTGTCCTGGGGATGGAACTTGCCCTCGGAAGCCCCGAGGACGTGAGCGGAAGCTCCCTGGAGCCAGCATCCATGAGCGAGCTCGGCACCAGGGTCCCGGCTGGGGACCAGGGTGGGCGTGCTGGGCCTTGGGGCTCATCTCTGGTCCTGCTACAACGCATGAGTGGCGACATGCCGTTGCTGAATTCCCAGGTGGACGCTGGTGCCCTCGTGAGTCCCGCAAAGTGCGGGGCCCCCAATGTCACCACCGCTGTCCTTGAGGAGGGCTGACGCCCCTCTGCATGTGGCTGTCGTACCTGGAGCAAGGTTCTGAGTGCAGCTTCCATGTGCTCACTGACTGCGGGACGCCACGGGCCTCTTCCTGTTCACCTTCGCCTTGGCAGACCTTTTCGTGCACAATTAGGAATCCCGTGTGACAGGGTGACTGACTCCTGGTCACATGGAGAGGCCAGCCCGAGCCCAGGCGCGTCGGGTTGGGGTTCGCGAAACGCAATGTGTGTTGGTGTCGCTCCGAGGCGGGGCCCAGGACGTGCTTCCTGCTTGGTCCCGTGGTCTTAAAGTGCTTTCACTGGTCGGAGTACCTTCCTCAGTCCAGGAAGCCAGGGTTCTCGTGTGAGGTCACAGTAAGCCTCGACAGTGTCACTGACGGCCCTGGTGGGGTGTACACGACGGCGAGGTGTGTGCACAGTGACAGCTCCAGGAGCAGGGGAGACGCAGCCTCCGCGCGGCCCTGGGTGCTGTTCACGCCTGGCCCTCACCTTGCTGCTTCCCAGAACTCCTCAGTGGCTTTTAAATCATAACTTTTCGTTCTTGGGACCAGCAGGTGGCGTAATGGCTATGTCGCTGGACTCCGATGTAGTCGACTGCAGTTAGAGTCCTGGACCCGGTGACTTAAACTCACACTGGGTGCGTGTGCGTGCTGTGTGCCCAAGATCCCGAGAAGAGAATGGAGGAGAAGGGATTGTGGCGTGGCCATCCCTCCTGGGGGGTGATTTCTTACTTTCTGTCTCTCTGTCTCCATCTTTCTGGTGAGCGCACATGCCCGATAACAAAATCCTCTCCAAAAGAATAAAACCCTAACTCTGCATTCTACACGTTGAAGCCAGACGCTGTTGTGGCTTGATGTCGTTTTATTCAGTTGCCTATCTTAAGGAAAATCACGTTTTCTTTTTTTTTTTTTTTTTTTTTTTTGGAGATTTTTTTTTCTTATGGGGTGGGGGGGCCC